TGTTGGCTTCCTTGTTAAAATCAATGGACTGGCCAGGCACAGTGGCGCATGCCTATAATACCAGCTGCTCAGGAGGCTGAGGCAAGAGGATTGCAAGTTCAAGCTCAGCTATGGCAACTTAAAAGACCCTGTCCCAAAATAAAAAATAAAAAAGGGATGAGGATGTAGTCCAGTGGTAAAATGCTCCTGGGTTCAATCCCGTGTGTGCGCGCGCAAGCGCGTGCACATGCACACACACACACAATCAGTTGATCATAAATAGATGTAATTTTTTCTGAACTCTCATTTCTCTTTTATTGATTTTATATGTTCATATGCAAGTACCATACAGTTTTGGTTACTGTACCTTTGCATTAAGTTTTGAAGTGAGGACATGTGAGTCTTCTAAATTTGTTCTATTTTTTTTTTCCAAGATTGTTGTAGCTGTTCTGGGTCCCTTGCATTTCCATGTGAATTTTAGGATCAGTTTACAAATTTCTGCAAAAATCCAGCTGGGGTTTTGATAAAGATCACATTGAATTTATAGATTAATGTGGGTCTTCATAAATCAATTTGAGTATTGTCATCTTAACAACATTGTTTTCTCATTCTTTCTCTTGGGTATTTATTGAATATAAAGTTGAGTTAAAGGGCTGGGAATATAGCTCAGTTGGTAGAGTGCTTGCTTCTCATATACAAGGATCTGGGTTCAATACCCAGCATCAAAAAAAAAAGTTGAATTTAATGCTAAATATGCTGTTTCTGTTTTGATTCCAGATTTATTCTGCTTAACATTCTATTTTAGTCATTTCCCTGCATTATGAAAGATGAGAGCATAATTTCAGTGCTGTATTATATTCTATTGCTTAGTCATACCATTCAGAATTATAAGTTCTATTTGTTGGGGAATCTGTCTTAAAAGGTACTTCATCTGGGTCCATTGTGGTGTAGCCCTTTCCCTGACAGGAACAAAGGGACACTGGAAGGACTGATGAGCTGGGGATAGGTTATGTTGCAGGACAAAGAGTTATGACCCTTGCTGGTAGAATTAAGGTTGCTAAACCATTGACCTACAAGAGGGAGATTATTCTAGATTATTCAGATGGGCTCAGTGTAATATTAAGAATGTTTAAAAGGGGATGAGGGAGCCAAAGAGGAGGTCGGAGTGATGCAGTGTGAGAACTCCACCACTTTTGCTGACTTTAAAGGTGGAGAAAGGAGGCCATGAGGCAGGGAGTGTGGGCAGCCCCCAGAAGCTGCAAAGGGCAAGGAACAGATTCACCCAAAGGTCTCCAGCAACAAACCTGCCAATACCTTGATTTTAACCTAGTGAGACCCATTTTGAACTTTTGAACTGCAGAACTGAGAGGTTATAAATTCATACTGTTCTAAGCCCCCAAAGTTGTGGTTATTTTTAACTGCAGCCATAGAAAATGAATATAAGGGGCATGGAGATTCATGTACTGGAATTTAAATGCATCTGCCTGGAAGTGACATGTGACACTTCTCCTGCACCATTGGCCAGAACAAGCCACATAGGCATGTCTAACTTCATGACGCTGTAGGAGATAACTCCTACGTAACTCCTTCAGCCCAGCCTTAGAGGGGACCTGAATATTGGTGAATATGGCCATATCTGTTTATCCTTCCTGCCTGCATTCTATTCTATTCTGGTTCATTAAAAAACCAAAATTCTCTTGGGTTGATTTCACTATCTGGTAGTGGGCCGTAACCCCTGGTTTGGAAAACACTACCTCACCAGACCCTCTTCTGCTCATTACCTCGTGGACCATGTGACACACCCTGGGCATGGCTGATTGGCCCAGGGGTGAGATACCTGACCAAAGCTAACCAATTGCTAACCGATTTGGAATGGGGCCATCCAGCCAGTTAGGAGCGGGAAGCTGAGCAAGAGGCAGAGTAGGAACAGGGTTGGGGTGTGAGTCACATGCAGCCAAAAGGATGGAGGAACAGAAAAGCCCTGAGTAAGCAGAGACACGGGTCCACAGAGACAATGGAGCAGCCGGCCCGACAGCCGAGAAGCTGGGAGCAYATGCAGCCCCTGGAGGAGAGGTGCAGAGAGGGAGTGGCCGCCTGAGAGCCCATGGCTTCCCGGTTCCTGGGTGCAGCCCCGGTGCGGCCTGCCTGCGCATCCTTGTGAGAGTCTTGTCTCCTTGTAGTACCCCTTCCTTTTCTTGCGCTACCCTCAGTTGATTTCTGTTCCTGTGCAGTGAGCCTTGGTCAGCCAAGGTGTTGCTCTGGCTATGGATCAGGCTGAGGGGCAGAGGGGACTTGGGGGGGACCAAGCCCAGTCTCCCACAACCTGGGGTTGGTTTCTTTTTCTTCTTTATCTTTTCTTTTTTTTGTGCCAGGAATTGAACTCATGGGCGCTTAACCACTGAGCCGCATCCCCAGCCCTTTTAATTTAATTTAATTTAATTTTTTGAGACGGGATGTCACTAGGTTGCTTACAGGCTTGCAAAGTTGCTGAGGCTAGCATCGAACCTTCGATCCTCCCACCTCAGCCTTCCAAGTTGCAGGGATCCCAGGTGGGCACCACCACGCCCTGGCTGGGGTTTGGCTTTGACCGCCAGCTTGTATTCTTCCAAACCTGCAGGAGAGTGTTCTGTGTGGTGTCGCACTGTGGGGTCCTGGGAGACTGGGATCACCCCACAGGGGCCTCTTTTCTGATGGTGTTGGGGGTGGGAAGCTGGAGGAGTCTGGGGGAGGGCTTGGTGGTGTGAAGGAGGGGGTGGGACGTGGGCTCTGGAGACAGACTKTGAGTCGCCTCTCTAACCCTTAATTTCCGCATCTCTGAAATGGGAATGTCGTGAAGTTCAGCCGTGTTCTGGGAAACATCCCTGGAGATGTCCAGGCCATAACAAACATGCACTCAGGGAATGAGAGCAGCTGCTGTTGTTTTAGGAAGCTCTGAGTCCCGCTTCCTGAGGGAGGTGGCCCCATGCTGACTGAGAGCCAGGACAGTCCCCACTGCTGGCTGTGCTTCCTGCCCCTGGTCACTCCACTCTGCCCCTCACCCCCACTCACCCTTTTATTTCTTCTTCCCTTCCCCTTTCCTGTCCTCATTTCCCCTCTCTTCTGTTATTCCTGATGTTGATAAAAACACCTGCTTTAGGAAACAGCGGGGCTGGATATAAAGCACCCAGCCTCTGGAGGCAGGCAGACAGAATTAGGTCTGGATCCTGATCGAGTCCCTTGTTTGCTGTGTGTTCCTGGGCAAATTACAGCATCTCTCTGAGTCTCAAGTTAATTATTTATAAAAGGAGGGTTATCATATCCATTTCACAGGGCCATTATGAGAAATAATTAGGCACTCAAGAAATGCTAGCTCCTTCTTCTTTCTCCCTGTCTTCTTGAGTACTGCTCCTCCCAGCCTGGCTTGGGTGCCGCTGGGTACCCCTTATCCTTCCCATCAGTCACTGGACTGGCTTTCCCTGGCTCAGTTATTCATGCCCTGAGGGGTGTGTGGCTTCTCCTTTCCCTCAAACCCTGGGTTTCCTAGGTGTAGAGAAAGACAGAGGTTTCTGGAAACAGCTGAGTTCCCTGTGGACTGTGCCACTTTTTCTGGTCTCCTCTGCAGGCCTAGTCCTGCCTGGTTGGGAGCTGCTGGTTCCAACCATGTGATCTGTATTTTTTCTCACTTGAGCAATTATCACACCCCTGCCAACTGTGGCATCTTCACACTCCCAACACTGATAAATATTGATGACAGGGGAGAGCCTGGGGCTCCTGAGGAGGGGGGAGGGGGTATGAMGCAATGCTCTGACCCCTCAGTGGTCCCTGGGGGCCCGGAAGTGAGCAGAGGAGGAACAGGGGCCAGGACTACAGAGGCCCYACAGAGCCAGCCCCTGCCCCAGAGGAGGAGCCATGGTCTTGGGATGAGGTGGCCTTTGCCTGGGCTTCCTGCTGGGGGTTAGGTGACTGGTGTCCCTCTCAGCCCCCTGTGGACCAGCCTCTGCTTGTGACCGTCTCTCTGTCTCTCTATTTACCTCTGTTCCATCTCTTACTTCACACCCACGTCCCTGTCCTCTCTCTTCCTGTCTCCCTCCTTCCTCTAACACCTCATCTCTGGGTCTCTTTCCTCTTTTTCCTTCCCAAAGTTACCCTGAGAAGTTCTGGGCTAGATGATGGAGAGTCGGTGGGGGRACTGGGTGGCCTGGACACAGCGGGGGAATGGGCAGCAGGAGCTCTGGACGCATGCATGCGGCGCGTTTGAGGAGTTGGGGGTCTGTCACTGCCTGATGCCCTGCGCTCTGCGGGGTCACCCTGGGTCTCAGTCGCCTGCGGCAGTTCCTTTCTTCACCGACTCGTTCCTGCACTCTTCAGTTGGCGTTTCTAGGCTTGCCGCCGGGACCAGCAGTTAGGGGTGCCATTGTGGGCACCTGGGATGTGCGCCTGGGCAGAAGAGGCAAAGAATCCCTGTCCTTGGGACGCAGGCATGCCAGGAGAGTGGACAGGCCAGCATGGAGTGCACAAGGAAATTATGTAGCAGGTCCCAGCGATGATGTGGGAGGAGGAAAAGCAGAGCGAGGGGAGGGTTGTAGGGGRGGCGCCGGCTGAAGTGGGGCTGGGCTGGTCGATGTCTGGGCGAGCATCCTGTGGGCAGGGGAAGGTGCTAGAGCAAAGATCCCRAGGCAGGAATCACCCTGGTGGGTTTGAAGAGCAGCAAGGAGCAGGGAGGCAGGAGAGGGGTGAGGGACAGTGGCTCAGACCCTACGGGCCCTTGGGGCTTCGCCTGTGTGTGAGCTGGGGCATCTCACATTGTGAGGTTCCCTCCACCTGCTGTGTGACCAATGGGTGGCCCAAGGACTGTAATGGCAACCACTGTGGCTTAAATGGAGGTCRGGTACAGATGGCAAGAGCTGATGGCGCTGGGCACCGTCTGGACTCTCCAAGTGCCTGCAAGTCTCTCCAGAGCACATCTGCATTGGGCGTGGGGATGGYCTGCAGCACCCCCGGGGCTGTGCTAACCCTGGCTTCACCTCTCTTTCTCTCCACAGAGTGTTCAAGAAGGCRAGCCCCAATGGAAAGGTGAGTCGGGCAGGCTGACCCAGCTCCTCCCAGAGCCCRGACTCTGAGGTCCTTTCCTGGGCAGAGAAGCAATGGTGTCTCCATGGAAACGCATACCTCCCAGGGACAGAGCAGCCATGGCTTCCTGTCAGGGTGACACAGCTCTGTCCTCAGGAGCCCTCCATCTAAACAGGGAGGGGCCCCTTTGAGGGACTTTCTGCCTGGACCTCAGGGAGCCTCAGCTCTGGTCGGGGAGAGGTGGCCTTCGCAGACCCCAAGCTCCATCCTGCTTTCCTYTCGGCTCCGCAGATATAATGACTGGCTTCATTTCATGCCAGGTCTGGGCTGAGCCAGTGGGGATCAGGGCTGGGWGTGCTGAGATGAATCAGGCACAGTGCTCACAGCCAGACGGTGGGGCAGACGTGGAAATGGATCATTTCCGTATGAAGTGCCAACTGTGAGATCCAGGGATTCCCAGGGGCTACAGGACCAAGCCTGGGTGGTTAGGGACAGATTYCTCTAGAAGGGACACATTTCCAGGCAAGGTGAAGTGAAAGGAAGGCAGGAACATGACTTGGGAGGGCATGGGGGGCATCTGGCAGCTGAGTCCTGGGGTGCGGAGATGGAGCAGGAGCGGAGGCTGGGGCAGCTGCAGGGTGGGGTCACGGGAGTCCTGTGGCTGGGCTTTGGAGCTTGACCCCTGGCCTGGGTGGCAAATAGCCACGTGCACGTCCACATCCCCCTTCGACGCCCACAGCAGACATCACCCCTCCCTTTTCGCCCTTTCCCACTGTGCCAGGATTTATTTTGCATTTCTTTTCAATCCAGGCCCCTGGGCAGCTTCCACCAATCCATCAGAGTTGGCACTTGGAATGAAAGCCATTTGTCATCCTTATCTCTGGGCGCTGAGGTTTCTCAGTTTTCAGAAGTGGCATGGTTAGATTTGCATTTTATAACAACCAGTCCGGCTAAGGAGGGGAGAGCAGCCCAGAGCTTAGAGCAAGGGGGGGCTACCTATCAAGTCCCCTAGACAAGGGTGGCTGTGGGGATGGGGAGGGAGGGACCTGAGAAATACGATGGGGATGGAATCACCAGGACTAAGGGATTGTTGAGGAGCAGGAAATTCTAGGATGGTGCTCGGGATTCGTCCCTGGGCCACTGGAACTCTGGCATCTAAGTGGCTCTCTGCCGGGCTGCATTGAGAGGAGCAACTGAAGAGCACAGGGCCAGTGTCAGTGCCTCTGGGGCCCTACCCAGGCCCCCCACCTCCCTCATGCCCCAGCACTGCCCCCGGCGCTAGCTTTGCCATGGCTCCTCCTCTCTCAATGGTTGTTTGGCATGAAGACCTCTTTAGGCCTCAGTGGCCTCATCTGTAAAATGGGAGTTATCTAACTCCTTCATCSGGTTTTTGGAGATGAGGTGCTTTTAAAGTTTTGTAGGGATTTGCTATTCTTAGCATTAAGGTTGGGGCAGGGCTACAAGTCCCATTGTGATTTAAAAAAATTTTTTTTTCAGATGCTGGGGATTGAACACAGGCCCTCCTGCTTTCTAAGCAAGTGCTCCACCTCTAAACTACATCTCCAAACCTTTTTTTTTTTCTTTAATATTTATTTTTTAGTTGTAGCTGGACAAATACCTTTATTTTATGTGGTGCTGAGGATCGAGCCCAGGGCCTTGCACGTGCTAGGCGAGTGCTCTACCGCTRAGCCACAACCCTAGCCTCATCTCCAAACCTTTTTAATTTTTTTTTTTTTTTTAATATTTGGAGACGGGTCTGGATAAATTGTTGAACTTGTGATCTTCCTGCCTCAGATTCCTGAGTTGCTGGGATTACAGGTGTGAGCCACCGCACCCAGCTGAACTTGTGACTCTTATCTAAGCCTCCCTAGTAGCTGAGATACAGGTGATTACAGGCATGTGCCTCCCAGGCCTGATCCACTGTGATTTGAATAAGGGTTGGGGTTGGGTGTCTCAATCTTAGCAAATCCCAAGGTTTGCTCYGGGGCCTGTGCCCTCCTGCCCTTACCTTCTAATGCACCCCTGCCTCTCCTCCCCAGCTCACCGTCTACCTGGGAAAGCGGGACTTTGTGGACCACATCGACCTTGTGGACCCTGTGGGTGAGTCCTGGAGGGCAGGGAAGGAGCCAGGTTGGTGGGACTCGCCCAGAGCTCCAGGGAGAGCCCTCAGGTCTCCAGAGGGCATGCAGCTTCTTGTGAGCAGCTATTTTCAAGTGAAGCCACTCAGGGAACTGTGGGAGGGACAGAGAAACAGGGAAGGAATCCTGATGCTGGGTGGTGGATAAGGGCGATGACATCAAGGCTTACTATGCAGCGACAGTGAGAGTAGTTATCTTTGTTTTTCAGGAAGAGGAGAAGGAGACTCGTGAGAGGCTCCATGACTTGCCCCAGGTCACAGAGCTAAGTAGGGAGAGGCCCCAACTGGCCTCTGTAGAAACCCTTTGTTCTTTTCCTTCTGAGGGCATAGGTGGGAGAGCGAATTTTGAGGTCTGTGTACCTGCCGGTCCTACCAGAGGCTGGGTAGGTGGCTGAAGTCACCTTCCAAGGTCTTACTCAGGTTCAGTGTTTCCCACACTCAGCCCTGTTGACATCTTGGTTCAGATAACTCTTGGTTGGTGGACTCGGTCCTGAGTGTTGCAGGGTGATTGGCAGCATTCCTGGCCTCTGCCCACTGGGTGCCAGGAATACCCCACACTCCAGTTACAATGATCAAAAACATCTTTAGATTTTCCAAGTGACCCCTTAGGGGGCAAATCACTCCTGGTTAAGGACCACTGCTCAGGCTGGGGTTGTGGCTCAGTGGTGGAGCACTTGCCTAACACATGTGAGGCATTAGGTTCTATCCTCAGCACCACATAAAAATAAATAGCCGGGCATGGTGGCATGTTCCTGTMATCCCAGCGGCCTGGGAGACTGAGACAGGAGGATTGAGAGTTCAAAGCCAGTCTCAGCAAAAGTGAGACACTAAGCAACTCAGTGAGACCCTATCTCTACATAAAATACAAAATAGGGCTGGGGATGTGGCTCAGTGGTCGAGTGCCCCTGAGTTCAATCCCTAGTACTCCCCAAAACAAAAAGAATAACAAAAATAAATAAATAAAGTAAAGGTATTGTGTCCATTTACAACTAAAAAAATACATATTTTTAAAAAAAGAACCACTGCTCTTGTTGGAAGAGCCTTGGCTTATTGCCTCTTCCCACAAGGGAAGGGAGGGAGGCCCAGAATTACCCCCATTTTATGAATAAACAAAGTGAGGCCAGATAGGTAGCTTTTTTKTTTGTTTGTTTGTTTTGTTTTAAGAAGGACATGAACAAAGTAATGCCAACGGAGCTAACAGGTTGTGAGTGTCGGGGTTGGAAACTGCGTAAGGCCGAGGCTTGGAACTAGCCCCAGAGAACGTGGCCTCTTGTTTTGGTCAGTGACCGAAAGGCCTGACAAGAACAACGTTAGAGGAGGAAATGTTTATTTGGCGCTCACAGTTTCAGAGGTCTCTGTCCATAGATGGCTGACTCCCTCGCTCTGGGCCCGAGGAGAGGTGGAACATCCTGGTACAAAGGTGTGGAGGAGAGCAGCTCAGGATACAGCATCAGGAACGAAAGAGGGAGAGAGAGAGAGAGAGAGAGAGAGAGAGAGAGAGAGAGAGAGAGAATATACCCCAAAGGGATACCCCTAGTCACTTACCTCCTCCAGCCACACTTTACTACCCTGCAGTTCCCACCCAGTTGGTCCCCGTCAGTGATTAGATCAAGGTTCTCACAATTCAATCATTTCCATCTAAACTTTCTCGCATTGTCTAATACATGAGCTTTGGTGGGCCTACCTCCTGTCCCCACACCCCGCCCCTTTCTCTCTCTCTTTCTCTGGTACCCGGGATTGAACCTAGTGATGCTTAACCACTGAGCCACATCCCTAGACCCTTTTTTTCTTTTTTAATTTTTTTTTTAGACAGGGTCTAAAAAAATTTTGAGACAGGGTCTCGTTAAGTTGCTTAGGGCCTCAGGGCCTCCCTAAGTTGCTGAGGCTGGCCTTGAACTTGCGATCTTCCCGAGTCACTGAAACACAGTGCCTGGCCAGGGGACACCTCATATTTAAACCATATCACCTCTTTGCTCTTGTCTCCAGGGGCTGTCCTGGGGCCAGAGGTCAGGGAGGACCTGTGTGGTTCCTGAGCCAAGAGCAGAACTCAGAGATGGGGCAGGTTTCAGCTCACCAGGGGCAATTCCTTGCCAACACTGGGGACCCCTGTGCCAGAGGAGTGTGAACAGGGCCCGGCAGCTTCAGGGAGGCCAGCTCCATCCAGACCTCACCCTTTATGCCCAGGGGCAGGGTGACTCCACTCTTCCTCCCAAGCCAGGTCTGGGGACTGTTTGGCGTCTTCGGAGGCTCAGTGCTTCCCTCTGCCAATTGCATCTTCTCCCTGAACTGGCCCCKAGAGGCTGTGATCGACTTTGGGCCATTATTTCTAGAGGACTCTTGAGCCCAGAGCTGAGCAGCCCTGTTGAGGACAGAAGCAGAGGCCGGAGGAGGGCAAGGGCAGGAGGGGACCAGCTCCCCAGAACATGCAGTCACCTGAGAGCTGTCCAGCAGGTGTTTACAGAACACCCACTTTGTGCTGTGGGGACCCAGAGGGCTCTGGGATGTTGTCCAGGGTTGATTGCATGACACACAATAAGAAATGCTTTGCCCATCATGACATTTTCCTCTGGCTTGATCAGATAATATCCTCTCTATGTTCCCCATCAAACCTGGGTGCTGGTTCAAACCTGGCCTGGATCAGGGGACATTTGTCTTTTTTCGCGGGCATGGGCACTGGGGATTGAACCCAGGAGCACTTTACCTGGGTTACATCCCCAGTGCTCTTTAGTTTTGATTTTGAGACAAGATCTCCATAAATTGCTGAGGGTCTTGCTAAGTTGCTGAGGMTGGCCTTGAACTTGTAGTCCTCTTACTTCAGCCTCCCAAATTGCTGGGATTGTAGGCCTATGCCACCGTGCCTGGCCCARTGGGATATTTATGATCTTCCCCTGCCTACAGTATCTGCTCCCAGGCCTCAGAGCCATGCCGTTCCTCTGCCTGCCTTGGCCTAACCCTTAGTCATCCAGTAGACAATCCTTGCTTGTCCTTTGAGACCTGGCTCCAGCCTCTCTCCCTAGGGAGCCTTTCATGACACCCCTGGTGGGGTGAGCTGCCCTCACTGGGGCTCCCTATGTACTGATGATCCACTGAGCCCTGGTGTCCAGTGCAGGACATAACACAAAGGACACATCACCATGAACAGAAGGAAGATGCCTGGATAGGCTGGGGGATGAGTTGGGCATGCACTGACCAGCTGTCCCAGGACCTGCCCAGGATGGGCTGGACCACTGAGTGAGTGTCTTGGCCTCCCAGACACTCACTTCCCATTAAGTCATCTGAGATTCCCCAAAGGGTTGGCTGTGGGGGTGACATGGGCTTGGGTGGGTAGTGTCTCAGGGTGTGGGTGGAGAGTGAGAGAAGGTTTAGGGAGAGATGGGCTGGGAATGCCAGGCAAGGAGATGACCCCGAGCCAATGCTCCTGGCCTCCTGGAGTGCTGGGCCAAGAAAATGTCCTCTGTGTCCAGCTGGGCACTCCACTTTAAGAAACAGGCTGGAGAGGGACATCAGGACACAGTCCATACCCTCTGTCATGCTCATATGTGCTGGGCTCTGTCTAAGCACTGTCCACACATGACACATTTCACACTTGTGCACATTGACACAGACCACCCACCTGTCCTCACGTGGATCACAGTCCCGGATCCACAGATCCCAAATCTAGAATGCTCCAAAAACATAACTCTATTCCTAACTAACTTTGATATCGAGTTCATCTATCAGCAAACTGAGGCTGAACTGATGTGAGGCCTTTGTTAGTCTTATGTGTCACTTCACGATGGGGACATGTTCTGAGAAGGGCATCGCTAAGTGATTTCGTCATTGTGGAATGTTATAGTGTGCATGCACACAAACTAAGACAACCACTATGTCACTAGGTGGTATCATCTCATGGGACCACCTTCTAAGTGGGGTCCTCTGAAACATTACATGGCATGTGACTTTATCTGTGTTCCCCTGTAGAGGTATTCCTGGCTTCTCTAGCAGGTGTCCATCCCATAGGGGGAAGTACCTAAAATGCAGAACATGTATCGTATTGCCTCGCTATAATTCAGAACTTCTGAATTCCAGAGTGTACCTGGCCTACAGGTTTCAGACCTACAGTATTCTTAGAAATAGATGAAGAAACACAAATGAAGTAGCCTGCCCAAAGTCAATAGTGGGCTCTTGGGCATTCTGGGGGTGGACAGAGGGTGGGCACAGTTGGGACAAGGCTGGGAGGTAGAGTGCCACCCCTGGGTGCTGCTGGCCTTCTGATTTCTTATGCTTTTGGAAGGAGAGATGGCTGGTTTGGGTGGGTGTTGGGGAGGGAGGCCAAGTTGGGAGGGTCTGCTCACTCTCTGTCTCCCCCAGATGGTGTGGTCCTGGTGGATCCTGAGTATCTCAAGGAGAGGAGAGGTAGGTTGTGGCCCACCCCCACCTGCCAGGGCTTCTTCCCACCAACCTCAGCCCAGGGTCTTCCTGACTTCCAGGCAGGATATTGGCTAATCTAACTGCCCCTCCCTGCCCATCTCACTGGTCCCGTTCTGCAAGCACCCACATAGGCGCTCTTGCCTCCTCCAGCTGGGGCAGCCCTGCCCATGCCCAGGCTAGGAGACCTTATCAGYGCCAGAGTACTTTTCTTATCACTGTGTCATGATGGTGACAAGGCTGGGGTGCCGAGAAGGCAGGACTCAGGGTCTTCTTTCTCAGAGGAGAAAGCGGAAGAGATTGTGCCCAGCCAGCAGGGAGGCAGGGCAGGGGCTGGGCTGGGCTGAGACCCTGTGTCCTGGACACTGCCCTGCACTTGCTTCTCATGCTCTGCCAGCCCCTGACCCCATCAAACAGTCCATGACCTGTGACCCTCACACATGGGACTGGGACGGGGAGGATGGAGCTGGCTGAGCAGGCAGCCCTACTTCCTCCTGGGGGCCAGCCAGGGGCCGTCCTTCCAGGTCTTGAGTAACAGCCCCTCCAAGGGACAGAGCACGCCCGCTCCATGGGAGCCTGGGACAAGCCTGTGGCTTCCAGTCGGCACTCTCGGGGTGGGTGGGTAGATGTGGCCCTCCCGGCCCCCTCCTTAGTGCTTCTTGCTCCCCACAGTCTATGTGACACTGACCTGCGCCTTCCGCTATGGCCGGGAGGACCTGGACGTCCTGGGCCTGACCTTTCGCAAAGACCTGTTTGTGGCCAACGTGCAGTCCTTCCCGCCGGCCCCCGAGGACAAGAAGCCCCTGACGCGGCTGCAGGAGCGCCTTATCAAGAAGCTGGGCGAGCACGCCTACCCYTTCACCTTTGAGGTCAGGGACTGCCAGCCCCACCCGGGCCCCGGTCCAGAGGGGCCGCCTCCAGGAAGCGCTCAGGGTGGGCACATGGGGGCAGCGGGGGCAGCCGCTCTGTGTCACCCAGTTCCCCAGGGTACGCTGGGACCTGGGGCACTGTCACTTACACTACCTGGTAAGTGTCTCTTCTCCAGCCACTGCTGGGGGTGTCACCCTTACCTCTGGGCTATTCCTCGGACCTTCCCAAGCCTGGGTCACTGGTGGGAGAAAGGGGGGCCCAGAGGTGGCTGAAGAGAAAGAGCCCTGGGTTGTGACAAGGTGTTCCCCCTCAGGTCGGTTGCCAGTGTGCCCAGTGTCGACCCAGCTCACGGGGGTGGGGGGGGGGTGTAAGGGCTGTACCTCTCTGTCCTGCCATCTTTCAGTTCTGAGATTCCAAGGTTCGCATTTCACAATTTCTGTCTCKTAGACTCTCTGATTCTGTGCATCTTCCCCGTCCCATGAGCAGTGGGGAATGGAGGGAAGGCACAGAAGCATCTTTTCATGTGGATGTATTAGTTTCCTTTGGTTGYTGTCATAAGTGACCACACATTGGTGGCCAACCAGTTAAAATGACACACAATCATGACCTTACCTACCATTCTGTTTCCACGGGGCTAAAACCAACGCGTGGGCAGGGCCATGTCCCTTCTGGAGGCTTTAGGGGAGCGCCCATGCCCGCGGCTTCTCCAGCTTCACATTCCAGGGAGGCTGCGCACACTCCTGTGCTCTTGGTCCCCTTCCTCCACCCTCAGAGCCAGCAATGGTGCTTTGAGCCTTTCTCCGACCTTCACTCTTGCACAGACTCTTCAGCTTCCTCTTCTGTCTCTCATGAGTACATTGGGCCCACCTGGACCATCCAGATGCCTGTCCCCATCCCAATGTTCTTACCGTGATCACATCTGCAAAGTCCTCTTGTTGTATAATGTAACATTGGTCACATGATTTGGGGATTAGGGTGTGGACATCTTTCAGGAGCCACAGTAGACATCATGGAAACACCTTTCTCAACCATTGCTGCGAGGAGTGGGTTGGGCCAAACCCTTTAGATGAAGAATACTTAAGTCCTTGTCTTCACTGGAGGGGCCTCTGGCCCTGGATGGCACACGGTGTGGCGTGTTCTGATGGGGGAGACACAGCCTATTCCAGGGACCCCTAGTCTGGTGGGGGCAGATGGCCTGTCCTTGGGCCCTGGTTGGATGAGTGTGTGTGGGAGTTTGGGAGTGTCAGGGATGTGGAGACCCAGGGAGGGACAGTGGTAGATGTGACAGATGGCTGATTCTGTCTTCTAAACAGATCCCTCCAAACCTTCCATGCTCYGTGACGTTGCAACCAGGGCCTGAAGACACAGGGAAGGTAGGTGCCCCCTGAAGGCATCATCTCTCTGGGTCCAGGACTCTCATGTCCCCAGGTCCCTGGCTTTCTCCCTGGGAGGTGCTGGACATGTAGAACCACCCTCCCTGTTAGAGACTCCTACGGTCTAGGCCTGGTTGATCCCTCCTGGGTCAACCAGTCTCTTCAGACCAGGTTGCAGATATAGTTAGCTTCACCCCGACATCCCGTGATATGTCCCTGTCACTGATCCTATTRTTGGCTGCAACTGGACCAAAATGTTCTGAGGATCTACCCCTAGCCTCACAACCTTGTATGGCGGTGCAATCACCACTGTTCCTCACAGAGGAAATGGAGGCTCAGAGAGAAGCCACACCTGCAGTGCCCCAGGCCCCAGACCTCCAAAGCAATTTCTTTATCTGCCAGGCAGAGATAACAGGGTGTGCCTTTTCATGTTGTTAGAGGGCTGGGGGGAGACACTGGAGCAGGGTCTGCATATAGTAGGTGTCCCCGGGCAGGGCTGCCTATTGTCATTTCTGGGCAGCTGCTATGATGAGGACAGCCAAGGGGCTGAGGCTGGAGTCCAGGGAGAAGGACCTAGAAACACTGGTTTGGACTCCTGGTGATGGTGGAGTCAGGAATAGCTCAGTGGGAATGTTGGTGGAGTAGGCAGCTGCAGAAGGGGGCAGTGCCGTCCGGGGGCTGAGTACAAGGCTTTGGCGTCATACCCAGGAGCTGTGGGCTGCAGAAGCTTAGCGTCCCTTCCAGTGTCCTGGTTTGTAAAATGAGTGCAGGCTGGCTGTGCCCTGGAGACCCTGCCTCTTCCAAGGCCCCGGGGTCAGCTCCGCCTCCTCCACAGGCCTGTGGTGTGGACTATGAAGTCAAAGCATTCTGTGCTGAGAACCTGGAGGAGAAGATCCATAAGAGGTGCGTGAGGCGCTGGCTGTGGAGAGGGAGGGGACAGAAGGGAGGTCTGAAGAGTCTGAAGGGAGCTAAGTCACAGTACCTAGAAATTTGCATGGAAGGCTGCACACTCCAGCCTCAGAGCTCTGGGAGGGCACTCTGGAAGGCAGGCAGGTCATGGAAGGCTTCCAGGGGGAGGTGGCCTCAATTGCTCTGGCTCAGGATCCGCTTCTCCTTTGCACCACTGTACCAGTTCCCTCCCTCATCTTCCTTCCTCTAGTCTCATCCTCTCCAGACTGCTGGTCTTTTTATTTTTGGAAAAAAAAATCCTAAATTCAGATTGTGTTCAATGCTGAGCAGGATGTCTGCAGGCTATCATTTCCCAGTTTTCTTTCTGGGAGGGGATCAGCAGGAGATGGAGTAAGTGTGTCAGTAGGGGCCTCTAAGCAAGAGAAAGAAGTGGGGAGAGCGAACCCATGTCTCAGAGAAGGGAATGCGCTCTCCTGAAGTCCCCTATAGAGAGAACCCATGTTGGCAGCCAAAACAAAGCTAGCCCTGACTTCATGGATGCCCTTCTTGKGGTCAAGTCCTGTCCTGCTTCCTGGCCTGACGGACCTTAGCCAGCAACTCTGATGCCACCACATCCAAAGCCTGTTCCTACATACAGGAGGCTGGCACCAGTTAGGCAGCCTTTCTAGGGAGTGGTTCAAGTTTGCCATCTGGTGGCCACAGGGTGTACTACAGGTGTTTCCATCAGCAGCCCTGGCAGCTCATGGGCATGAGACTAGAACCTTCTCCCTCACTTCATTRTTCCCCTTTTTCCTCCTAAGACCTGAGACTAGTAGTAGGGAAGGAAGGGTACTGTGGGTGTGGGAAGGAACTTGACCAGAACAAGGGAAAGGAGGCAACACTGAGAGCCACCACCCTCATTCCACCACCAATGGGACCTTTAAGTCCACACGAAATGAAGAAGTCCACACGGAAGACTTACTAGTGATAAAGAGATAGTAGCTATCATTTCTCCAGGGCTGACTAGGTGCCAGACATGCTCCGAGTGCTGGGCAGCTGTGGACTGGCTTAGCTTCCATAGCAGGCCTGAGGGGTGGGTCCTGCTGTTGTCAACATTTTACAGTTGAGGCGGCTCAGGCTCAGTGCCGTGACTCAAGGCCACACAGTTAGGGAGAGGAGGGGTAGGAGTGTGATCCCGACTCTGGTTCCTGGGGGTGGAGGTGGCTTGTGGCTTGTCTGAGCAATGCCAGCACTCCCTGCATGCTACAGAGATGGCCTCACTGAGTCCCCATCCCTTCCTCAGCTCTGTGTCCTCACTTCCTCTCGGAGCTCTGTCACCTTCACTGAGCCCCTCCATCTGTGGGCCTCCGCCCCCTCACTGARGGTCCCCTTTCATTGTCCTGCAACCCTCTGGCTGAACCCCACACCTCCCAAGCCCCTGTTTCTTCCTGGGATCCATCCTCTGAGCATGTTTTACTTAAAGGGTCTTCACTCCATGGCAGGCACTGTCGTAGCTGCTAAAAACATAGCAGTAAACAATTTAGACAAGTCTCTATCCATCAGGAGCTTACACTACTAGGTGACATGAGGAAGCAGGAGGTGAAAGCAGTTCCTTTCTTACCATCCTCTTGGGTACCAAGACACAGACCCAAATGAGGAGTTTCCATGGAGTGRCTCAGGGACAGAATGGGGAAGGATGGAGTGGGCCAAGTGGTGACAGTCTAGGTCAGCCTCTCTAGTTAGCTGGCAGTGGGCGCCCTGGCAGCCTCTTAAGTAGGAGAGGGATGTAGAGGTTGCAAAGAAAGGGGTTGAGGCAGGTGACCCTGGCATCTTTCACTCCACCCTTTCCACCAGGAATTCTGTGCGCCTGGTCATCCGGAAGGTTCAGTATGCCCCAGAGAGGCCTGGCCCCCAGCCCACAGCTGAGACCACCAGGCAGTTCCTCATGTCGGACAAGCCCCTGCACCTAGAAGCCTCCCTGGACAAGGAGGTATGAAGCTTGGGCTTGGCAGGGGTGGGGCTGCTCCACAAGGGCCCTTATACCCCACCGACTCCCTGCAAGCCAGTGGTAAAGGTAAAGAGGGGTACAGAGGGGGCCCGTAGACTCCCTGCCATAATCTTGCTTAGCCCTAAACTATGAGGCAGCACCTGACAAAGGCGGGGGACTCTAATCCAGCTGATTGATACCTGCTCTGAGTGCAGGGGGCTTCTCCTCGAGGCATGGACACCCTCTTTCCCTGCAGGCAGCTGCAGGCAGGTACCTGGGACAAGATGTGGGTTGAAACCCTACAGTGAGAATTCAGAGCTGGTTCCCTCAGGGAACTGGGCAGCCCTTCCTCTCCTTCCCAGCTCCTTCCAGAGCCTCCTGTGTCCAAACTGTTGATCTGGCAAGGACTTGAGACATTCCCTAGTTCAACCCCTGTTGTATACAGAAGGTTGGGCTTCAGCCTTCCTTGCCACTCAGGGTAGATGATATGAAAAAGACTTTCAGAGGCTTAGGCAACCTGTCCAATATCACATGGCTATTATTATAGTCATCCTTACTGGTGGCCAGGACAGGACTGGTGCTGGGAATATACCTTCTAATTCAAATACCTCTCAATGGTCCCACAAGGGAACTGAAAGCTAATATACTTGGTGGCTTCAATGCTATATTTGCATTAATGGGAAGTGGCTGAAGCCCTTGGGGCAGTTGTCAGAATAGCTTAGATTTGAGGAGCTTGGGAGGGCTGTTTCTTCTTTCCCTTCACCTAGAACGTTGGTGTCTTCCCAACCAAGGCTCTCCTTTCTTCTCCCAGATCTATTACCATGGAGAACCCATCAGCGTCAACGTCCACGTCACCAACAACACCAACAAGACAGTGAAGAAAATCAAGATCTCGGGTACCCTGGGGAGAGGGTCAGCTTGGGGTGGGCAAGAGGGGACCCTCCCAAGGGTTGAGAGGGGGTCACTAGAGGCTCTCCTCTTGTCATGATCCTTGAGATAACTACTGCCAAAGACTTCTGAAGCCTAGGGCCTGCCCTGAGCCAAGAGACCCTTGGAGGCTGGTGCCTCAGGCTGCTCATGGCCAGTTCAGGCCATCCCTAATCTCAGGTGTCCTGGGCCCTGGACACGGCTGTCCCTACAGGGATGACCTTTGGCTATGGAATGAAATGGGTATTTCAGAGGCTACATTTTGGGTGGAAGATGGCGGTGGTGTCCTACAAATTCTCCCAGGTAGACTCTGGCCGTTCCCTGGGGCTAGGCATCCCACCTCAGGCAGCCGGGAATACCCCCTGGGCTGGGCCCCCCTGGTTCATGCGCCCTTTCGCCTCCTTCCCTAGTGCGCCAGTATGCGGACATCTGCCTTTTCAACACAGCACAGTACAAGTGCCCCGTGGCCATGGAGGAGGCTGAGTAAGTGAGCGCACGCTGGGCCTCGGGAACGGGGGGTTGGGGGGCAGTCCAGTCACAGGCCCAGCTGGCTCTTCTCCACCTGGCGGAGGGCTGGGCCTCAGCCTTCCTTGCCACTCAGAAAAGATGATGTAGAAGAGATTCAGAAACCGTCCACCTGATTTAGTTAACAGTGGTAGAGCACTTGCCTAGCACGTGTGAGGCACTGGGTTTGATACTTAGCACCACATAATAAATAAATAAAATAAAGGTATTGTGTCCATCTATAACAAAAAAGTAAAGTTAAAAAAGAAAATGTACACTGCAGTCAAAAGACTCCATAAACCTTGAACAACAAAACAAGAGCTAAGGAGTGAAAGGAAATTGGGTTGTTGAGTGAGAATAATGACACTGTACCAGAAACCTGGGTGGAAAGGAGAAACTTTTGCTCTGAGCTCCTGAGAGCTGGGGCAAAAGCCCTGGGTGTACAACTTTTARTAATCCCCCTCATTGGGTAAAAGGGGTATATGTGGGAGGGTACAGAATAATTGTACAGAAAACAAAAAATGTCCAGGTTTGAGGAGAGCTGCTACGGGTGAGCATGGAACTTTGTCCCAAATTAATTGGCAGATAAGATGTGAGGAGAGATCTTAAGAAAGGCATCTTATCTAGAGGAAGTGAATACTCCCAAAAGAAGACACATCTTTTTTTTTTTTTCTTTTGCTGTTAGTTTTTGGGGTGGTGTGGCAATTGCATTGTATTTAGTTTTACATATATGGGGATATTTATTCATATATAATTACAGTCAATATTTTTTGCAACTTAAAGACATTTTAAGAGTTGGTGTGACCTGTATGGTTGCATATGCCTGTAATCCCAGCAGTTCAGGAGGCTGAGGCAAGAAGATGGAGAGTTCAAAGCCAGCCTCAGCAACTTAACAAGGCCCTAAGCAACTAAATGAGACCCAATCTCTAAATAAAATATATAAAAAAAGGACTGGGGATGTGGCTCAGTGGTCAAGTGCCCCTGGGTTCAATCCCTGGTACCACAAAAAAAAAAAAAGTTATTACGTGATCTCAGAGATAGTTTTTAATGTGACTGTGGTATGAGTAGATCAAATATTCCCTCCTTTTGGTTATTTCCTCTACCCACTATTGATAGAAAAAATAAAAAACAAAGCCATGACGCATAGATTCCTGGTGAAGGGTGCAGTGAGGTGACCCAGACCCAGAGGGGACACCCTCAGCTCTGCCAATGTGCACAGGAGCGCAGGGCARCCAGCAGGGACAGCAGGACGCTGCTCCTGTGGATGGCCTGCCTGGTCTCTTTACTTCCTGCGGAGGCCTGTGAGGTGGGGGCTGCTACTGTCCTAGTATGATGATGGGGAGATGGGCTCAGAGAGCTGTGACCTGYTCAGCTCACGGAGCTGACAAGAGGCAAAGTTGAGGCTGGCTCCAGGACTGCCCCCGCCCCATCTGCTGCACCCCTGCTATCTCCTTGAAAGGGGGAGGGGATGGAGCAAGCACTAGAAAAAAACGGAACAACCCAAATACCCTGCACCATGGCTAGATGTGCCATAAAGCGAAGTTTTCATTGCGTAGTCTGGGTGGGGGGTTCATGGTGTCCCATGGCTTCATTCATGGTTGCAGGTAGCTGTCATTTTAAAGGTAAATGTACTGCGTAGTGCTGTGCTGTTTCTCCACCCCGGGGTCCCTGCTGGGTATKGCATAGATGTGCCTCTTTTGGGTGGCTGTGGTCTCCCTGCCAGAGCCAGGCCTAGCCCAAGTGTTCTCTGCAGTTGGGGAATGGAGTGTTGGCAGAGGGAACTCGGGGCCAGGCCCTGCTAGATGTCCTAACTGGGTTGGGGCACAGGGCTGGGATTGGCTGTGGGCAGGGCCACCTCCACACCTGCTTCCCTTCTTTCAGTGACACTGTGGCACCCAGTTCGACGTTCTGCAAAGTTTACACGCTGACTCCCTTCCTGGCCAATAACCGAGAGAAGCGGGGCCTCGCCCTGGATGGGAAGCTCAAGCATGAAGACACGAACCTGGCCTCCAGCACCCTGTGAGGACCTGCCCTCCTGGTCTCAGGCTCCTGCTGCTGTCCTTAGTCCCAACTGTCAAGGAAAAGGCTCAGGCTGCCCTCTTCCCTCAGCCTTGTCTATGGCCTGTCCACAGAGGCTTGAGTGGTCAGGGAGGCTGTCCAGCTTCGCCCACCCTCCTGGGGGGACCCAAAGGACAACAYAGGCCACTAGACCTGGCTCATTCGGTCTGTGCCAGCCCTGGTAGTTGGTCTGGAGGAGCAGCCTGGAAAGGCTTCCTGCCAGAGGCAGCAGATCCTGACCTGGTGTCCTCAGTCAGAAGGGTGGAGCCTGAGGCCAGCRAGGCCAGAGGGAAGGAGGAACTCCTAGGAGGACCCCAGCAGAAGGGGGACTGGAGAGCTCAGGACAGTGAGCTGGGTGGACCAGACATGGCGCATCCCTTCAAGTCAGGGACCCCTGGGCCGTCTGTCACTACTGCCCCGTGGGCATCACTGAATCCTCCAGGTCACCCTGCTGTAGCAGAGCCTYGGGGTGTGGGGTGCCTGTTGCACCCTCCCTGCTGAGCCCCGCCCTCTGGCTGGGCTCCAAACTGCCKCTGCACCCCTGCTCCCCCACCGCCCCGCCGCTGCCAACCCAGGCTGCCCTTGGACCAGCCTCTCTTCCTCATGCCCTGCAGAGGCTGCCCACTTACCTCCAAGATTCCCACTGGCTCCTCTACCCAGGCTCTAACCCTACCTGTCCTCAAGACTTTGTCAGGGCACCAGTCACCAGTCACCTCCTGACCCTTGCCCACAACTGCCCCCAGCCTCTCCAAATTCCCAGCCCTTTCTGCTCACAAGTTACTGAGCTCTAAACCGTGGCTGGGAGAAGCTGGACTCATTAGCGAGGAGTTAGAGCCCCGCCCCTCACAGCCCTGCCAGACACTGGCCACTCAGGGGTTGGGAGCTTACCAAGCACACAGTGAGGGCTCTCACCTCCAAATCTGGAACTCGGGGCTCCAAGTTCCAGCTTCCTAAGGGTAGAGGTCACCTTTTCTCACCTCCGCTGGGACCAGGGTGGGCCACTCACTGGGCTCCATTGGACATGGTAGCTGAGTGGCCAGGAGAGGGATGGACAGTGCTGTCCTCCACCGCATCCTACCACCTGCAGTATCTCACCCATCAGAGAATCCTGTGGATCAGCTTCCCTGTATCACCTTGCAGGTTGAGGGAAGGCGCCAACCGTGAGATCCTGGGGATCATTGTTTCCTACAAAGTGAAGGTGAAGCTGGTGGTGTCTCGGGGCGGGTGAGTGTTCTAGCCCAGCCCAAGAGCCCAAATGTGGAGGGGCCTGCAGCCCCCCACCCCATTCCTCCCGTTGGACCTTTCAGCTGTATCTCTTGTGGAGGAGGAATGGGGCAGGAGGACTTCTGTTCTTTTCCTCCTTTCTGTTCCTCTTCTCCTCAACTCCCTTTCCCTCTCCTCCAGTGGCTCTGGGCCGTCCTTCCCCGTCCCGTCTTTTCCCCACTCTCTTGTCCTCTTCATGGCAGGTCAGGACCTTGTGCTGAGTACTGTGCCTGGCCCAGGAGGGAGAGCAGGTCCTRGAGGGCACCACGATGCTCACACACCTCTAGACATAGCACCCACCCACTCTTGCCCAGGCTGATCTGCTGGGGAAACGGCCAAAGGGGCTCAGAACCCCTGAGCTGGATTGGGGATTTGCTAGCTCAGCTGACTCCCATTTTATAGATGGGGAAACAGAAGTCCAAATGGTTCCTGAACTCTCCTCCCTGAGCCCTGGGTCACGGGCTGGGTGCTGGGGTCCCAGTAGTGGACTGGATGTATTTCCTGTCCTACAGCATATAGTTTGGTGGAAGCTTAGAAAAAGCTCCCATTGCCCCATATATTGGGGTACATATTATAAATCAAGTATTAAGGCTTCTAATTTGGGGATTCCCCCCCTTAACTTAGTTCATAAATGTCTATGGAAAGATTGAAAAATGAAATAACATTAGACATTGAGTCTCTTTATTATTAAAATAATGACTCTTTGCAGGTGGCAGTGTGTGATACTGACTGTATATTATAGGACCTCTCTAAATCCCAAATCCCATGTCATGTGACCTTGAGGACCCACAATTTTCCATATGCTTCTGGGATCCCCCAAAGTCTTCCTTCTGCCATTAGCTATTCCTGGCAGGGAGATGTTCTTACACCTCCTTTACAGAGGAGGATCTGGGGGCCCACCTCGGCCCCTGGGTAGGTAGATGCCATGTCACTCTCCCTGGATAAGCAGTCAGAGCTGTGCCRGGGTCGGGGGTGTGTCCCTCGGGTCCGCCTGCTCTGCGGGGCAGCTGAGGAGGTGAATAATGTGTTTTTTCTTCCTCTCTGCACTCTCTCCTGACCACTCCTCCTGCCTCCTCTGGCCCACCCAGCCTGTTGGGAGATCTTGCGTCCAGGTAAAGTCCCTCCTTCATCCTGCTTGAGCCACCTCCCTGGAGGGCCCAGAGACAATTGGCCTAACTGGTCAGGACCAGGGTACTGGGTTGAAAGGAATCTAGTGGTCATTTCAGGACTTGGGACCAGGTGTGTGCTGGGCTAGACCCTTCTCTAGGGATGAGGGAGACCTGGCCTTTCCATAAAAACCTTGCCATGCTCTTTCATCCCATTCCAGTGACAGGGACCTTTACAGACAGCAGTGATCTGGGGAGTGGCCACCAGCAGAGCTGACTGAATTCCAATCACCTGATTTATAGGCTGTTTAGGAGAAATGCAGGCCTCGTGGCTTAGAAACTTCTACACTAATGAGAACGAACTACTGGCTGCGTGTTGCTAAGGACAGGTCCTCAGAGATCCACTTTTGTAGACAAGATTCCCTTGTAATTGGTTGGATGGATTTAACATTCCAAAAATGCCCCCAACATAGCCATTTGGCTTCCCTTCACAAGATGGCAGTGTCACCCRTCCTAAGAAATCTTGGTCTAGTTTGAGAGATGACAATAATTCAATTTAGTTCTGTATAATTTGGCAAAGACTTTCTGAACCTAGACTTGTGCCCAGCTTTATGCTGTTCTCCAAAGTCCCAAAGAGGAGTCAGAAGTGTCCCTTTTCCTATCCCTTATGTCTTGGGGGAAAATTAAGGTCCAGATCCTTTCAGCCATATCCTATGTGGTCTCCATGAAGGCTGGACAATTCAGTCTTCCAAGTGAACACTTTGGAAGCAAAAAACAAAACAAGACCCCCCCCACACACACACACACACCAGAAAGGAAAGGAAAAAGCCAATGAAAAAGAAAGAGCCTTCAGGAGGCTGAGGCAGGAGGATGGTGAGTTCAAAGCCAGCCTTAGCAAAAGCAAGATGCTAAGCAACTTTAAATAAAATACAGAATAGGGCTGGAGATGTGACTCAGTGGTCAAGTGCCCCTAAGTTTAATTCCCAGTACCTCCTGCCAAAAAGAAAAAAGAAAGAAAGAAAAAAAGTCTTATAAGACCCTCATGTTGCCAGGCACAGTTATACACGCCTGTATTCCCAGCAACTCCAGAGGCTGAGGTGGGAGGATTGCAAGTTCCAGGCCAGCCCCAGCAACAGTGAGACCTGGTCTTGAAATAAAAAATAAAAAGGGCTGGAGATGTAGCTCAATGATGGAGTGCCCTGGGTTCAACTCCTAGTACCAAAAAAAGAAAACCCAAAACAAAAGACCCCTGTGTTCCCATGGAGGGGAAGTACTGGTTCTGACAGGCTCATGCTTCACAGTTTAACCAGATCTTTTACCTACAATGTCTGCTGGAAATTCCAGTGCTTCTAGAAGGTAGGCGTTGTTCTCCCATGTTTCCAGATGAGCTGAGTGGGACTCAAGGCTGTAAAGTCCTCCACCAATGAGAGGGAGGCTGGCAGAGCCTTTCTGATGGCATAACTTGTGCCCTAACCACTCCATTCCCTGTCCCTTCACCCTTCCCAGCTGCCTTGAGCAACAAAACCAATAAATGTGGCTATGCCTGCAGGCACTCAGGGTTTGGGGGGTGTCCTAGGGTGATGGCACCCAAGCTGAAAGATGCCTTCAGGGCTGCTTCTGTCAGTCTCAATTCTGCTGTTGTCACAGTAGTTAAGGGAGTGAATTATGGAGCCAGAATTTTCCATCACTTACAATTAATAGTTGTATGTAAGAGACTTTAATWTCCTTGTGCCTCAGTTTCCCAATCCATACATTGGGGGTGAATAATAGGGTTGTTATAAGGATTAAATGAGTTCCTCTAAGGAAGGGGCTTAGAACAGTCCTTGGCACAGTCACGCCATGCAAATGTCTGCTTTTATTATTCTGTCAGGAGCAAGGGAGAGAGGCCTTGTCAGAGGCACTGGCCGGTAGTCAGTTCTTCCCCATAGCCCCTCCCCTCCATCTTTCACAAGGCTTCCAGACTCTGTGCATGGTGTAGATAGCCCTAGTCCTGGGCCTTCATAGTGCTACATCCAGATTTCACATTGCCAGGAGCTTCTTGAGGCATGGAGAGATGGAGCAAGGGCAGGAGGGGTCCCATCCAGGAGTTGGGAAGGGCAGTGTCAGGGAAAGTTGGGTGACTGTGATGACTTGAGGTGGGCAAGGTCCCAGAGCACTGCTAGAGCCACCCCGTGACCACAGTGCACACTGCCCTGGGTTCTCCTTTCCCACCCTATATCTGCTTCTGGCCCATGGAATCCAGGGATTCTTCTCAGGACAAGGGAGGTTTCTATTTCCTTCTGGAAGCAGGAGAGCAGGTCTCCTAGTTCAACTCCTAGAGAGACAGATACTCACCGAAGCATGGTGGATCTCCCTCTAACACAGCTCTCCCAGTTCTCAGACGGACAGGGCACTGGGGCTCACAGCCTGAGGCTTGGCCCAGGGCTCACTGTGTTTGGGTCTGTGTTTCAGCGATGTGGCTGTGGAACTGCCCTTCACCTTAATGCACCCCAAGCCCAAAGAGGAACCCCCACATCGGGAAGGTAAGCAGGCCCTGTGGGTCATTGGGGTGGGGGGATTCCAGAGAGCTAGTTTCCTCCTCCACCATGTTACCCCCTCATCCTACATCCCTCTGAGCTAGCCTTCAGCCTAGTGTCACCCTTTCCCAAGCTCCCCAGGTCTTTTGTGGGGCCCACCACTCATATTTGCTTCTGATCTGCTAGGAGTCAGTGAGCGCTGGCTCCTGCCTCTGTGGGAGAGGAAGAGAGAAAGTTCATTGCCAGGCATCCAGGGATGGGCTGGGGCCTGTCTGGAAGTGGGGGAAGGAGCCACACAGATGAGATGACCTGTTGATACAGCATTTCCTTTTTAAATTTTTTTTTCCCCAATTGATAACGGAGTGTTTATACTTCTTTGGATCTAAGGCTGTTTCCCAAGGGACTGCGTGTTGCATATACAAAGGCAAACAGTGGTCCCACGATTAAGCTGAAATGTGAAATGTCATTGATTTTTTACACTCCAAATTCAGAGAGGTTAAAATGTGAAAAACAAATAAAAGCTACGAAACCCAGACCCTCTTAGAGAAACTTACGCAAGCTGGAAATGAATTTGTCATGTTGGAGACCTGTCCCGGSAGCACAGGATCAGAGGTTCAAATCTGCTGGGACTGCAGTGGGCATCCAGGACCCTCCCTGTACCCTCCTGCCTTTAAGATGATTTGGGGTGTTTCAAGACCTGGGATGAGCTCCCTTTTGCCCCCCCTCCCCTCATCTTAGCCGGCCTGTCCCCAATTCCACACTAATCCCTGGGCACCTTGCCCTCATTGTGTTCAGTTCCAGAGAACGAGGCGCCAGTAGACACAAATCTCATAGAACTTGATACGAAGTAAGCCAAACCCTGCCTGCGGATGTTTGGGGGGCGGGCCAGGGGGCGGGGYGGAGGGTCATTTGCATATATGCTTATTAACCCTTGAGGATCAGCTGGTCTAACCCTGTCTGCTGAGAGCCGCCTCTGCTCGCCTCTTCAGCAACCCGCTTGCCTGCATGTGACTTGAAGGACCCTCCGTGCCTGTTCCTCTTCCTCCTGCCTTGGTGGGGTCTGTCTTCCTCCCTCGTCCTTGCACGTCCGTCCGTCCGTCCGTCCGTCCGTCCGTCCATCCACAGCGCCTGCTGGCCTCACAGGGCTGGTCAGGGCCCTGGGCTTGGCTCTCCTCTCGGCTCTCACCAACTCATGGAGGCAGGCTGAGGGGTGGGGAAGGGTCTGGGTCCCGTTGCATCTGACTCCTAAGGACCCACCAGTGCAGATTTCCCTGCAGTGAAAGGCCTTGGTGGCACCGGACAGTGGCTGGCGGGGGAGGACCTGGGCCTGCTGCACGAATCATCTCCAGGGCCAAGCAGCTTTCTTGCTCCAGCTGCAAAAGCCACCCTCCCTTGTACCCCAGGAGAAATGTGGGATATGGGGACTCCAGCATACCTTGCGGATGACCCATGTRTGGCTGGCTCCATGGGGCAGGGGACATTTTGTGGGTCCCTACCTGGTCTTAAGTGGCTGGCTTTTATGCCAGAAAGGAAGCAGCCCTTAGTCCTGCACCCTGCTCAGGTACCCCTTCCCCTACCCCCCTTCCTCAGCCCCTGTGTAGATTTGCTAGCTCCCCTATCCCAGTCCCTCTCCTACCCAGAATCCCTGACGGCAGCATGTGAGTGACACTTTTCTGGAGAAAGGGCCTTTGTGGCTTTCTCTCCATTAAGCCAGCCCCACTGCTCTCTGGAATGCTACCTAGGGGTAGTTTTTTGGGTGAGTGGGTGGGTTTCTTGGGCTTGCTCTTGAGGGATTCATAATACACTGTGAGGATGTGGTGGTCTGGCCTATCATGGTGGGATGATTTCTACCTCTGCCACAGAACCCCACTACTCCCTGTATTTGACATGCCTCCACCCCCTCCAGAGTTAGGGTCCTTTCCTAGGCCTTAGGCACAAGAGTCAAATTCGTGACCCCCCTGGCACTTTTCAATTTCTCCAAGTCCAGTTGTGACTATCCCCAGAGCCTTTCTGCCCCAGGTTGGCCCCAGAGGCCAGAGACCTTGGGGAGTGTGGTTCTGTCCTGGGTCCCTCTGTGTCACATGTGGTCAAGCCTGTGGATATGACCTCTCTCCTTCTCCCTGCCCTTGCTAGCATGCCACGTTGTCCTTGTTTCTCCCTGCAGCGATGACGACATTGTGTTTGAGGACTTTGCTCGCCAGAGACTGAAAGGCCTGAAGGACGACAAGGAGGAAGAGGAGGATGGCACCGGYTCTCCACACCTCAACAACAGATAGACTGGCGGCCCGTGCCCAGCAGCTCCGGGCCGCTCTCTTGCACTAGGATGCTTACTTGTCTTCTTCCTGTTCTGGTTTCCCTCCCCTTTGTTCTTCCAATTTCAACTAGGGGACCCCAAGTGGTCTTCCTGGTCACGGTGATGAACCTCTGGCCTCAGGATTGGCCCCACATCACCATGCCAACAGTGCACCACCTTCACCTCTCTGCGGTCACCGCTCCACCCACCCTCTTTTCATGCTCATTCCCACAAAGGCCACCAYAGCCCTGGCCTTGGGATTGGGCTTGAGATGGGGAGTGGGAAGGGCAGGGTGGGGCTGGAGGGGCTCTGTTGTGGTGGGTGTGAGGGCTCGGAGGAGTGGGCATGAGGGCTCAAGACACATGAGAAGATGTCCCCAGTTCTACCTGGTAATGGTTCTGGCAGCTAAAAGATGACTATATTGAAGGCCACCCCCTCCCAACTGGAGGGGCAGAACCATGGAGAGATTCTCAATGCCTTTTTGCAGTTTGGACCCACCAAAGACCTCTCCCCCTCCACCTTTCTCCTTGTCCTGTGTCCCTGTGTCTGATAGTGGCATTGGTGAAGCTCGTGAGCTCATAGACCCAGGAGTGGAGAAAAGGAACGAAATGACTTCCTTACCAGCAGACACCTAGATGGAGGCAAGCCGTGTCAACTAGCCAGTTTTCTTTGGGACTTGCCAGGATGAGCACCTTAGCTGCCTTGTGTTGTGGTGGTGATGGGGGGACTGGGTTCTCACATGCACAAAGGTGGGGCTCTTCAAGCACCAGCCCCTGCAGAGGGAGTTTCTGATGGGGCTTGCAGAGGTGGGCAGAGGTGGGAAGTTGAGCCTCCCCTTCTCCCTTCCTTCGCAGACTTAAGACTTTTTTATCACCAGGATCAAGGTGGGAGGTCCAGGGACAGCTGGGGCCACCAGCGTCCCCCTCTTTCTCCCTGTAGTCTTCCATGACTAGGCTGGGTTGGCCCTACAGGTGGGGAGAGTGGCCACTGTCAAAGGCAGTCCTTCCCCAGAAGGTAGCAGGCTCTATCAAGATGCCTTCCTGCAAAGGGAAAGAGGCTGTGCTTCTTTCCTTGGGGAATGGAGACCCTAGTAGTTCCCAGTGTCAAAGGTACCTAATACCCATTGGCTGTTGTTGGTGTGATTGAGAACTGGGGCCTTTCCCAGGGCAATGGGGCAGACATAGTGATAAGTGGCAAGTATTGAAAGGTATCCTTGTCTGGTCTTTAATGCTAACTTGCTGTATGATCTTAGGCAAGTTTCTTCCCCTCTCTGGGCCTCAGTTCCCCACTGGAAAACCCAGGGACTTCTGGCTTTGAAAATTTGTGAACATTTGAGCTCTGGTCTGCTGGGTGGAGCCAGGGCTGCTTCCTGTTCCATTGGCTTCTAGAGGGGATTCACAGACCTCAGAAGCAGCAGGACCCAAGAGAGCTTCTGTCCAAACTCTGGGCCTAGAAAGACCCTTTTTGGGCTCCCGGGGTGTCACCTGATGTCAAGCCTTGACCATAGCCTGCATGAACTGCTCTGCCCTAAGGCCTGGGTTTGCTGAGACTTGATGGGGGGCTTGTGATAGGTTCTGCAGGGCTTCACAGCCCCCGAAGGATGTGGGCAACATGAGATTTACCAGGCAAATATACTAATTAGCAGAACAAGGGGGATTTCTTCTCAATTTCTGCTTACTTCTGTCTTGGTCCCATATTTTCCTGAAAAGGGAGACAACACGACTTTTTATACAAGTTGGATCCCAACTCTTTCCAACCCAGCACCTCTGGGGATGAGCTGCACAAACCTTTCCCCATGGTGAAATGACAGTCACCAGCCTGGCCCCATGCCTGCTAAATCTCATGAATGCTCAATCTTCCCAGGTCAGAACCAGGTCAACTGGGGGCAGTCACATTATCCAGGCCAGTCCCATGGTCCTAGCAGCAGGTACCCCAGGCATCCAGCCCCTGCTGGAACTGGGTCGCTGTGGAGCTGGACGCACAGAGCATGTACCCTTCAGTGTCTTCCTCTGAAACTTGGGGCTGGTACAAGACCCTTTAGCATTGGAGGTAACTTCTCCCCTCAAATATCTTTTCCCCCATCCCTAACATGCACACAGAAATTTTGTCAGGCTGGTTTTTGAAGCTTCCTGCTTTTCAAAATCACACTGGTAGGGATTTTTCCAGTATTAATTGAAATTTCTCCAGCTGCAGGGGAGTACCAGGGCACTATCTTTTTGCTCTTTGAGCCAGGACTGCACAAGGACAATGGTAAAGTGTAGTTGAATTCAGCTTCACCATTCTTTGCTGACAGTTTCTGTGCTCTATGCCCAGCCTTGGTGGCACAGAGATGGGTCTATCCCAGTCTCTGTTCCTGGTCAGGGGAAAGTCACAAAGGCATTGCATCCAGGGCTGGTTCATATAACTCACTTGATGTGAGTTAGAACACAGTGCCCTGCCAGAGGGACTCAGACCACAGCAGAATGCACAGGCCTGTGAGTGTCACACAGGTTGGATTTGGTTCCACGTGCCTATTGGCCAGGTGCCCCTCTACTCAGCTTTGTGCTGCAGCCCTGAGAGACACAGGCCAAAGCATTTCTGTGGTCTCTTCTTGAAGAGGAGGACCCATATCATCTTTCCAGGTTTCTGGTCAGCTCCAGGCACCATCTCTGAACTCAGCACCTAGACATGACCCAGTACTTCTCTGCAGGGCCCCTCTCCACCCTGGAGTCAGCCTGGCCAGGTGACACCTTGGAGTGATAGTGGGGGTGGGGAAGCCTTACTAGGCCCCAGGACCAACCCACAGTACTGGCTCTTGTTATGCCAAGTGTTTGGGGCCTGTGCTTGCCAAGCAGCCCACTTCCCAGTGGGTCATGGGGCTGGCAGGATGATGCCAATCTGGGCAGGAAGGAAGAACTTGGCCTGGGTGAAGCTGCACAAAGCAGAGGGCCAGCTGGGTTTCCTCAGCACCCAGCCCAGAGAGGAGTTCAATCTTGGGAAGACAAGGACTGAGTCCTTTGGCTGGACCCCAGGGCCTTCTCAGCCTCGAAGCCCAGATAAGCTAGAGTGGGCTTGCCCTGGTTCTGGTCCAGCTGGCTCCCACTCGGTGCAGTGGAAGCAATGCCAGGGCTGAACAGTGCCCAGGGCTGCTTCTCAGGCCTGGCTGTCACCAACCAGTTGGGTTGCCTTGAGCAAGTCCCACACCTTCAGTCTCAGCTTCCCTAACTAAAATGGTACAGAACTTCCTTCCCTGCCTGACTTAGGAAATGGCTGTGAGATGAAAACCAGTGGCCCACACTCTATAAGTTGCAAACAGCCACCAGGTGTGTGACCTGCAACTTCAAGAGCACGACCCAAGGTCACACAGGAAGTTAACTGTGCGCCAACCCACCTCCCGCTGGTCTTCATCTCTGGCCCTGCTTCTCACTTAGGTAACTGTCAACCAGAATGAGAAGCAGCCAATTTGGCCTTGGTGACCCAGCTGAGAGAGAAATGCAGACACTATTTGGAAACACCATGATCACCGACACGCAACCAAGACAGAAAAGATGTGCATGTTTTCAGTGATTGGGGAACAGGGRGGTTCTTGGACCCTTCCAGGCCTGTAGTCCCCGACATCTCCCACCTCTCACACCCCACAGAGGTCAAGAAGGCTTGGTACGGAACCCACCATTGCTCTGTAAAAGAAATCCAAGGGTGAGGGGAAATAGAAATTGCCTACTCCTGGCCCTCAAAGTAAAAGGCCCCATTCAGGATCAACAGAGCTTCCTGGTGACACTTGAGAGGGCCCTGGGCCCAGGGAAAGCCCAGATCTCTTGCCCTGAGCCCTGAGCCCCTGCTGATCCTCTCCCAGTGGTTTCAGCAGCCCAGAGAGGCAGCTTGCCTCCTGCCAGTGCCAAGGGTCTGGCCATGCCCTACCCATCCAATCTTGAACTCTTTTAGGGTCCAATCTTGAACTCCTACAGGGTCTCATGGATGCAGGCCTATGCCTGTCCTGATATTTTTCTTTTTAAAATCAATAGGGACCAAAAGAGTCCCCACTCCTCCCTCATACAGCCTGCCTGGMGCAAGCAGCGCCGTCTCCTTTCCCTCCCTCCTGGACTGAAGAAGCCCCGCTGTGGGGCAGACCCCACCTGGCTGCTCCTGCAGGCTCACTGCACAGTAGTGAGAGGCCATGTGGAAGGGGGTGCACSCTCCCCCAACATTCTCTCCCAACTTGTCACCCCAAAATGGAAATCAAAGCACAGGTCCCTGGGACCCATGATCCGTAGACACACTGATAGTGGCTTTCCAGCCAGTTCCACAGGGTACCGTGGAACTCCCACCAGGCCTCGTCAGCAGCTCTACGGGAAGAAGGTGGGGGCAAAGGCTGAGTCTCTAGCCCTCCCCACTTCCCACTTCACCAGAACAACTCTGCTTTTATCTCTCTTGCCTGTTGTGGTTTCACTTTAAAAAATTTTTGTTTTGAAGAAAAACTTCAAACCACCATTCTGAGGTTTGATCTTAGACCAGCAAGCACAGAGTCTATCCTTGCTTTTCATGTTGGCATGGCTCGGGCTTTCCAATACAAAGTGTCTTCATATTGGAGCTTGGGTCCCAGACCAAGGCCCAAGTGTATGCTTACACACACGGGTGCACGCGCAGACACATTTCATGTTTTGTTTTGTTTTTTAACCAACCCACCCCGAAGCTCTGGCCTGGGTTTGACTTGGGCAGGGGCTGGTGATCAGAAAGGTTAGGGCTTAACCTAGGCCACATGGGAGACCATGGAGCAAGGGAACAGGCCCAGTCCCCACCCAGGACTCTGTCTCCACCTCTGTGTGACACCCTACTTCCCAGCCCAGGCCCTCAGGCTGTCAGGAGGATCAGGGTGACCGGAGAAGGAGAATCTAGAGCCAGGTTCAACTACATACAGTGAGGGAGATGGACACCCAGGTTCTCACAAAGGCATACTGAACGAGGACTTTATGACAAAAGTCTCTTCCCTGAGGCCAGGAGTCCCCCAGAGACCTTTCAAGCACCAAGTTTCCTTGAGTAATTCCAATAGGATTCTATTACCACAATTGTGACCAACCAAGCATGTGGACAACAGGAGATTTTGTGCCCCAAAAGAGGCTGGCCCCCTCAGGAGGTCGCCTGAATTCTTTCTCTGCCTACCTGCCCCTCTGCCCAGGCCCCTCGTGGGCACTCAATAGCAGGTGGGTACTTTTGGACCAGCCCTTGGCACAAAATCCCACCTCCCAGGACATTCTAGATGTGAATGTGAAGCTCAGGGCACTGCAAGCCACATGGCATGGGAGAAAGAGCGTGCCATCGGATACTTTATGTTCAACCTGTGCCCTTGGAGACCCTGCTGGCCTCAGTTTCTACATGTGTAAAATGGGGCCAGTACCAGGTTGTGCTCACCTTCATAGGGATTATTGCAAGGGCCACAGGGAGGCGTGTAGGCGAGGAGGTAGTATGAAATGGCAGCATATGAGAGGTGCCTTACAAACTTGGGGTGAGGTCCTGTCCTGGGTGGCCGATCTGCAGAGCCCCCAGGGAACAGGTGCAGAATGTACTGTCCCCCTGGGCAGCTGTGCTCAGCAGTGAGGTCTGGTCACAGAT